CGGGTATCCCGTCCCGTCCCGTTGCCCACCCCTACCTGGATTATCAGCGCGAGTTTGAGAAGCTTGCTAATCATTGTGTCGGTTGGATGCAACATGCATTGATGGGGACCTATCTGGGAGGGCTCAAATCCGAAATTGCGGATGAGATTCGCATGTTTCGACCTCAATCTCTCCGCGATGCAGTCAGCCTGGCGCAGATGAAGAGCGACCAGCTACAGAGGCACAAACCGCCAACTGGTCGCGCAGCCTCCAATCTGCCACAGAGTACGGTGGCTGCGGGGTTTGGCAGAGAGCCGGCGGGAGCGCGGACTACAACCGTGGCGGGAGCTGGACCACCACGAGGTGCGGCGGGAGGCAGGCTGTTGACCTGGGAAGAGTAACAGATGCGTCGTGCTCAAGGGTTATGTTTCAATTGTGAAGAACGGTTTACCATCGGGCACAAGTGCGGTACGACCAAGATTATGTGCTTGTTCGAGGAGGAAGATGCCGAATGTTAACCTTGGGGACAAGGTTGAATTCGAAGGGGGATGGAATGGTAGCAACTCGTAGTTAACGGGCTTGGGTTGTTAGTATCAGGTTGCATATTATTATTATGTTATGGATTTAGAATTGTTCGGTTAGTATTAAGTGTTGGTTAGGGCCTAGTACATAATCCACGAGAAGTTGGGCTTCTTAAGGGTGGCGGATAGGGGTAGGGGCCGAGTGGCCTATTCAGGTATTAGGGTTTCTACCCTATAAATATGTATGTTCGATGGTAGTGTTATCGAATTAATAAGAAAAGGTATTTCGACGCCAAAGTTGTCTCTCACTTGTGAGTTACAAGCAAAACCCTAACTCAGGTAAACGAGTTGCTATCAGAAGAACCCGCACGAAGTGGTCCCCACTCTGGAGAACACTTTCCTCGAAGACAGAGTCCAAGAGATGCTGTGAGCTCCCCTCCCACCGGCCGGCTGCTCCACACTCACCTGCCTTACAGTTACCTGCCGGAGGCGGTGAGGGAGTCCAGATGCATGATCGTGTACCTGGCTCGGAATCTGAATGACACGGTGGTGTCGATGTGGCATTTCTATAACAAGCACTTCAAGAGAGGACCGGGCGACGAGCCGTTTCCGTTGGAGGGAGCGGTGGAGAGCTTCTGCAGTGGGGTTCTGCCTTTCGGGCCCTTTTACGAGCATGTGGTGGGATACTGGGAGGAGAGCCAGAGGCAACCCGAGGAGTTGTTGTTCCTCGAGTACGTGGATTTGTGGAGAGAGCTGAAGGAGCAAGTCAGGAAGTTGGCTTCGTTTCTAGGGAAGCCCTTTTCCCAGCTGGATGGAGATGGCGAGGTGGAGAAGGTGTTGTGGCTGAGCATTTTGGATAGGCTCAAGGAGCTGGAGGTTAACAAGAGTGGCATCGGGGAGCTGAACCATGTGCTCAATTGCACCTTCTTCAGAAGAGGAACCGTACGGGACTGGGAGAATTACTTGACTCCAGATGGCTCAGCGCATTGACCAGCTCACACAATCTAGTTGAAGGGGGTTGGAATTTCTCTTATGATTAATTGCTGGGTTAATTAGTTGATGCAATTTTCTACTACTTTTTTCGCTTCGATTTAGTGTCGCCTTTGTGTCTTCTGATTTTGACGAGTTCAGATTTCTTGCCAAAAGAACAAAAAAATCTTGTCTATTTTTACGATTCGAAAGGAAGAAGGTGGACGACGATGTGTTGATGTGTAGGTAATTGTGCATGCACGACTCTCAAGTTCCTATTACTGAATAAGTTCGCAGAATATGATATCATATTACATAGAAGAAATATTGATATTTTGTTTTATGAAGGGAAGATACTGGCATAAATTCACAATTATAAGTAGAGGTTGTTCGCACTTTTTTTACAACTAGTGATAGCGTGATGGCAATGGGACAGGACAAAGTGGATACTTCAATATCCATACCCGCCCCGCACCAAATATGGTCGGTGACAACTTGGTCGAGTGTATAACAATTACTCAACTCATAACCCCATCAAATTACATGGAAGCTTAAATGTTTTTGATTGTTGTCAAGCTATTGTGCGTGCAAGTCCAACTTTCTATTGTGCTCCTATACCCCTTTAAAATTAGGAAAAACACCACTAGAAAATCCGAACTATAAAAAAAGTGTCACTTGTGTCCCGAACTATTCAACATGACATTTATATCCTAAACTATTTTTTTGTTAGTGTTGAACAAGTTTGACTGTCAATACTTAACAGAAAATCCAGTCAGTGTCAACGTGGCATCTGATATGGAATTTAAAATATTGATTTGTATTTATATTTTCATATAAATTATTAAAATAATAAAAGTAAAAAGTTACAAAAATCCACAAATCGTCTTAATCGTTTCGTTGATTCTGCTCCTTAGTCAATATCAAGTTGACCACTATATGATCAACAATTATCTATAACGCTCAACAAAATCGCCAGGACGTAAATGACACAAAACTATCATACGTTGAGACATAAGTGGAATATGGGTTAATACCTTAGTTTGGCCCGAACTATACACAAACTTTCTACTTTGGCTCGTGGTTTCCGAAATTGCTATCCTGGCCTGAAGCCCTGAACTATGCACCATACTTCCTAACTTGGCCCGGAGCCGGGTTTGACCGTCAAATTGGACGGTTAACTCTGTTGACCGTTAGTCAATTGTCATCTCACTTGCCACCTCAGCAAACATGGAATAATTTTTTTTTGTATTCATTTTCTTTTCTTATAATAATAATAATAATAATAATAATAATAATAATAAATGGAAAAAATTAAAAAACCCAATTTATTCTACCTATCTCACCTCAATCGGGAATTTTTTTCCCAAACCCACTTCTTGCTCGAGACCCAAATCGATCCTACTTCCCCTTCTCCTCCGCCGCTGACAACCCTCCCGCCTCTCCTCTAACGCTTCCACCTCTCTCTGCCGGCGGCATCCAATCGCTTGTTGAGCTCGAAAATCCAATTATCCTTAGAATCACAAATAACAACCCCAAAGCCGGCCACGATTACCTTTTTGTCCCTCACTCGCTGCTCGCTCTCCAAACACTTGAAATACAGCCATAAAGTCTTCGCGCTCACCCACGCCAGCTCAGCCGACACCTTTAAAGAAGACGAGGCACCAGAGGAGGACTCGTCGCCGCTGCCGTACGACTTCTCATAGTTGTCGCCATACTTGTCCCACTGATCGGCCGGGATGTCGAAGATTTCTCTGGCAAAGTTCTTATAAAAAATCAGACGGTCGAGGTCCGTCTTCATCTCCTGCATGAAATACTCGCTCGCTTCCCTGTCCATCCACTCCTGATTCAGCCGCTCAATGTCGTCGAGGAGGAGAGACACGTAGTCGAACTCCGGCTCTGCAAGAGGAGCGGAAAGAGGCGGCGGCGGTGGCGGGAGAGCGAAGAGGAGGAGGATGGAAGGTGTCGCCAAGTGATAGCCTCCTGCATTTGGAGGAGATGCGGGGGAGGGTTGCCGGCGGCGGAGAAGGGGAAGGAGTGGGTTTCGGGGAAATTGAGGGTTTTCTCAATTGAGGTGAGAGGGGAGGGGAGGGATAAGTTGTTTTTTTGTTTATTATTATTATTATTAGAAAATAAAATGAATAAGGAAACAAAAAAATAATTTTTTTTTATTTTATGCCTGCTGACGTGGCAAGTGAGTTGGCCATTAACTAACGGTCAAACTCAGCTCCAGGCCAAGTTAGGAAGTATAGTACATAATTCAGGACAGGATAGCAATTTCGGAAACCATGGGTCAAAGTAGAAAGTTTGTGTATAGTTCCGACCAAACTAAAGTATTAACCCGTGGAATATTGAATAGTTCGGGACACAAAATGCACTTTCTTGATAGTTCAGGTTTTCCAGTGGTATTAGCCCTTAAAATGATTCTCATTTGAACCTAAATTACTATTACACCTAGTGTATGCAATGGACCTTGTAGGACTTCAAACATCCCATTATTTTTGGTCTATAACTTCATCTCATCGAGGCCCCCTAACTATGAGGATGACCGTATCGGTTAGTCAGCTAACCGCTTAATTGTAGGTTAATAATTATTTAATCTTCAGTTAGTAATTAGCTAAATTGGCTACCGAAACTGACCATTTACTATTTAATCGGTTATTGATGTGAGCGTTAAAAATCGGTTCTGGTTCAGGTATTGGTTACACCGCTAACATGATAACTGTTTACCAACTCTACATGTACACATACACATTTATAGAAATAGGATGTCACAATCACTTCTAAATACAAATTACATAGCAAATCAATAATATTCTAAACAAAAGTCATTAAACAGAGTTAACTTGGTAAAATGATGCAGGTTAGGTAACATGTTAAATATATTATATTAAAAAAGTCAATTGGACCACCATATGAAATGGAAAGCAAATTTTATTGAAGTATAGAAATAAAATTGATATGTAGTGGAATTATAAAAGTTGTTGATGTGATAGAAGAAACTACATATGAAATATAAATTGTAATCGATGGATGTGAATGGTCTAACGCTTTGGAATAATTGACAGCTCAGGTTGATGTATAAGTCACTTTCACAATGGTCAATGGCAACTTGGTGTATAACAAACCTTTCGAAACCATTGACCTCTTGGTTGACAATAAAAACTCACAAACTAAAGTCACAATGCTCCAATGTCAACTGTGTATAGCAAATGTTTGGGTTAATTGCAAGGATGGTCACTGGGTTTACTAAAACCGTTCATGTTTGGTCACTGCAAATATTTAATTCCATTCATGGTCACTAAGATTAGTTCAATAGTTCAAGTTTGGTCACTCTCCGTTAGTCTCCGTTAGTTTTTGCTGATGTGGCAGTAAACTATTATAGTTGACCGTTAAATGAGTGACGTGGCCAATAAAAAAAATAAAAAAAATAAAATATTTAAATATTTACAATTTCCACCTCATTTACAACTATTAAAAAAAATAAAAAAAATAAAACTTACCTCTGTTTCCCTCTGCTCGCTCCCTGGTTTCTCACTCTCCGAACGCGAATGGAGGAATCACCACCGACGACCGCCGCCGATTTCCTCCCGCTTCTCCGGGCCCGGAGCTTACACGGCGACGAACATCTCTCCGTGGATCTTGAACGTCGGCGCGTCTACCGTTGACCGTGATTTCCCTGCCGATGTTGTTCTCGGAGACGGAAGCGTGCACCGCGGAGTTTCGCTTTACGGTGGGGATGGTCTGCCGGAGGGGGAACTTTTGCCTCTGGTTTACAGCGCCGATTGCGGGAGCAGGTACTGCTATGCCGGCAACCTCGACCCGGCAAAGGTGAAAGGCAAGATCGTGCTCTGCGATCACGTCGGGAACGCGAGGGTCGAGAAAGGAGCGTCGGTAAAGCTCGCCGGCGGTGCTGGGATGATCATGGCGAACACGGATCTGGAAGGGGACGAGCTTCTTGCCGACGCTCATCTCATTCCCGCCACCATGGTGGGAGCGACGGAAGGAGACAAAAATAGCCTTTTGAATCGGGCCCTGTTTGGTAGTTGTAGTAAATGTGTAAATTCTCAACTTGAGAGGCTGTTTCCTTGAGGGTTTGTTTCAATCAAGCATAAGATAACTTCATTTGTTGGTTAGGTGTGGCAGTAATCTATATTTATACGAAGAAGTGAATTTCAGTTTGTTCCCATTAATGACAGTGGGAGTTGCGATAACGAAACTGGTATGTATGATGTATCTGCTCTGTTGAGATTTGAGTTTGCATTTTCCCAGTCTTCTACTGAAGGAGCAGCAAGATGCAGTGCAGTGATGCACCGTAGCGGCGAATGAATTCGATCATCTATTGCTGGTGGCAACTGGCAAGCACCTTAAATGACCAGGAGATAACAAGGCCACCTAAGCCAAACTTTCAGAACAAGCATATTTTGCGACGCCGGTCCAGCCATTTTCATGGTCTTTTGCTTTAGGTTTCTGCCTGGTGCAGTGGTTGGGAAACCAGGGAGCGAGCAGAGGGAAACAAAGTAAGTTTTATTTTTCTTTTTATTTTTTAATAGTTGTAAAATAAGGTGGAAATTGTAACTATTTGAATTTTTTTATTTTTATATTGGACACGTCACTCATTTAACGGTCAACTATAATAGTTGACTGCCACATCAGCAAAAACTAACAGAGACTAACGGAGAGTGACCAAACTTGAACTATTGAACTAATCTTAGTGACCATGAATGGAATTAAATATTTGCAGTGACCAAACATGAACAGTTTTAGTAAACCCAGTGACCATCCTTGCAATTAACCCCAAATGTTTTGGTAGATAATGGAAGGAAAAAAAAAGGATTAGCTATTATATATATACTTGTGTTGACACCTAAAATTAATTTGGCCAGAATTAAATGCCGCATTAATTAGTCTCGGTATTTAATTCGATATCGTGGGTAAAAGACGGCGTCGTTTGAAATTAAGCGGTATCGCGGACAGTTAAAACGATACCGCGGAACAAAAAATGGTACCGCAAGGAAGCTCAGCGGTACCGCGACACCGGTCACCAAAAAACAAAAGAGGGGCTGCGCGTTTAGTCGTAGTTGGGGAATGAGTTTTTGTTTGCTCTAATTATTATTTATTATTTTTTATTCCTTGTTGGGTAGGGAGAAGCGGCACTGCGGGGAGCTAAAACGGTGTCGCGGAATTAAAAACGGTACCGCGAGTAAGCCCAACGGTACCGCGGATTAGCAAACGACAGTGGTTAAATAAAAAACAATGTCGCGAAAGGAAAGGCAAACGGAGCCGTTTTGGGCGCTAATGGCCGGATTAATTAAATGATTTTTTAGGACGGTGTCGTTTAGTTGAAAATGATGCCGCAAGAGGAAAGAAACGACGCCGCGGATTATAAAACAATACCGCAAGTAGGCCAAACAATGCCGCAGCAGTTAAAACGACAGTGTTAAAATTAAAACAGTGTCGCGAAGCTCAAAAACTCAACGACATCGCGGGACAAGGAAACAATGTTGTTTAACTAAGAACGACGCCGGGGTGAGAGTCTGACGGTGAGTTAACAATGAGGGCTGATTTAATTAATTAGTATTTTACGAGTATTTTAGACGGTGTCGTTTAATGCAAAGCGATGCCGCGGAAAAGTAAAACGACATCGCGGTAGTGCTAAGAGTTCGGCCGAAGGCGGCCCGCCAAGCCCAACGACGTCGCAAGAGTAGAGAACGACGTTGTTTGATGGACTAACAATGTCGTTGGTTAAACCGGGTCGGGGCAGTTGAGTTGGATTATAAAACGACATCGGTTGGGGAAAGGCGATGCCGCGGTATTGGTGAAACGGCATCGTTACATGGACAAGGTTGTAGGTCGCTTTGCCAAGTTTCTGCAAGGCAGAAGCAGTTTCAAGGGCACGTGATTATCACGCAACAAGGAGGAAGTTACCTGCACGGTTGATAGGAGTGAAGACGTGGGAGACAAAGGCGCGAAGGCAGTTACTACGACGGGGAGAAGCGCGAAGTATAAAGATTGGGAAGAGAGAGAAGCTCGGGACGACAAAATCAAACCTCAAACTGCACCGTCGCAGATCTATCAGTTTTTTCTCCGTAGTTTCGTAGAACCGCTCTGTCAAAGACCTCCTTTGCAGAGTCGTAGTAGTTGTAGTCGTAGTTGCGGAGCTCTCCAGAGGAACCTCCATAGGAGTAGAAGTAACGTAACTTAGAACTCCTGGTTCATTTTTCTGGTTATTCGCCTAACACCCTCGTTCGAACGTAGTTTGGAGAGGTGGTGAACCGAATAACGGTTGTTTGATTAGAAGTCAAAGGTGTATCGATCAAATCAACATCGCCGACATCGGTGGTGGATATTTGACGGTCGTCTTGATTTCTGTATAATCGATCAAATCAACGGCGCCGACATTCAGTGGCGGATATTTGACGATTTTGTTGACTTTGTGTTTGTGCTTACTTGAAAACAGTGCGCATTGAACACGCGAGTTTCGCCAACGAAACAACTTGGATGAGTTAATTCACTAAGTTCACCCTCTACTAGTATTATGGGTAATTAGGGTTTTAGGGTTCACTAAGTTGAGCCTCTACTCTAATCGGGTTACTTTAACTTACTACTAACTGATTTAACGGTTAGTAGTGATGGCAATGGGGCGGGGCGGGGCGGGGCGAGTACCTCAATTCCCATGTCCAGTCTAGGGCTGCAAATGAGCCAAGCCGCTCGCGAGCAACTTGGCGTTCGAATCGGAAAAAACTCGTTCGATACTCGACTCATTGTTTAACAAGCCGGCTCGCGAGTCGACTCGTTATTAAACGCGCCAAGCTTGAGCTAGACCATGCACGGCTTGGTAAGCTCGTGAGCTAGCTTAACTCGGTAGCTTGTTGAGCTAAGCTTGCGAGCTGACTTGTTTAAAGCTTATGGAAGGATTAATTACTCTTCCGAACATGAAAATTATCTTATTAATAAGGATGTGTATGGAAGTTAGATGTTATTTTTAGTTTCTAGTGTTCTTTTTATCATTTTTAGTTTCTAATGTTCTTATTTGTACACATTTTTCAGCAAGAATGGTTTCAAATCGAGCTTATCTTGAGCCGAGCTTGTACTCTGCTTGACAAGTTGTGTTATTGAGCATTTATCGAGCTCGAGCTGGATTATTTTTAATCGAGTCGAGCTTGTGCTCGAGCTGGATGATCAAAATCGAGTTCGCGCCGAGCTCGAGCTTAAAAATTTATAAACGAGCAGAGCTCAATCTAAGCAAAAACTCGAGTCGACTCGGCTCGTTTGCAGCCCTAGTCCACCCCCAGCTCGTTTTCAAAGCATAAAAGCGTAAGTTTTTGACGCATACCGAAAAATAACTAAAAATCTATTAAGTAGGACATATACTATGTAAAATATGACTGCACAGAATTTAGATAAGTTAATAAATACATGCAATTCATGCCTAAAGTAGAGCAACTTACAGAATCTTAATAATAAGTTCGTAAACATAAATTTTAACAATAAGCCACTTTTTCATCTATGCTAATGAATTCGAGAAGAGCCCAACTGGTGAATTATTACTCTATTGAAGTTGAGAATGCATCCAAGTACATGGTATGTATCTTTTAATATCAAAATTCAAATGCATCATATTGTTGGTCATTTATTTTTAAAATATACTTTTTATAATTAATTTCATGAAAAGAATACTCATTTAGTGAACTAAAAGCGTAAAACGTAAAGCGTTTTGGTGAACTAGAGGCGTTAAAGCGTAAGCTTTTAGGTTTTAAAGCGCAATTTAGTCTGATTTTATACACTTAAGTTATTATATGGAAACGGAAGCGTTTTGGTGACCTAAAAGCGTAAAATCGTAAGTTTTTAAAGTTTTAAAACGTGATTTTAACTGCATTGATTATTATCATTTATGACGATCATATCATTCACATACATTAACAAAACCACCATACAACTAGAGCGGATTGTAATGGTGATTGATCGTTCAAACTTTTGAACTTAATTTGTATAAAACGGTCACCAAAAGTCTAATTTGAAACGACACGGTAACAAAAGTTTGAACTGGTATGAAATGGTCACACTGTTTAATTGGTGACCGTTTTGTTCTAAGTAAAAATTTTTGTTATCAAATGGTTACAGATTAAAGGTTTATGACTGTTTTGTACTAAGTGCAAAGGTTTGTGACCATTTATGCTAATTACCCCATATTTATATGTTATTTGAAAAAATATACAAATTTTACTTTTTAAGATAAAAGAAGGGAAAAACACTTTATGAATGAAAATAGTGATAAGATAATGGGTAATTGAGTCTAAAAAGTTGGAAAATTGACTCTAACTAGTTGAAGAAAAGTAAAATAGGAGAAATATATATAGATACGGTCAAAAATTGAGATAAACTGGGGTCTAGAACCGGGTGGGGCGTGTCGCAAGTAGATACCCATGCGGGTAATTATCATAAATGGTCACAAAACTATTCACTTTGTACAAAACGGTTACAAACCTTTAATTTTGCACGTTTCAGTAACATATGTTTGGACTAATAACAAAAAGATAATTATGTCTGTTTCCATCTAAACATCTATTAGTTTGGTCCACTCAGCTATCCCGTCAGCATCCACATCATCAAAATAATTAATAAAATATAAAATAAAAACCAATCAAACCCTAACCAACCCACCACCCAATCCAACCCAACCCAACCAATCTTCTAACTTCAACGCTGTTGAACCCCAGCCTCCCCCACTTTGATACGAACATAGTCGTGTACACCATGGGCGCCGCGAAAGGATCTTCCTCTTCCTTAACCTCTCCCTTCACGTATTTATCAAACTCCGTCCCGAGCCTCCCCTTCGCTTCCTGTATAAATTCAATCACGCTGGCTACTGTTAGGAACGGAACAACAACAAGAACGAGGTTACCGAATCTGGAGCTGAGTCGCAGACTAGATCGCTTTCTTTAAGACGTTTGCGGCACTGCCCTCGATGC